TAGAATCACTACACCTAATGATAGATCATATTGCTTTTGTAACCGTTCACAAAACGATCTCACATACCATCTCAAAATCATCTTTGGAGTTCATCCCTCCTAGGGACATTGTTTCGTTGAACAGCCGTTCCCACAGGGCGCAGACTGTCTCCTTCGCATTAGTTCAGCACTCCCTTGATCCTTTACAGCCAGGTTGCGAGTTTGGTTGTCGTACGCATACCGACTCAATGCTCCTGACACTCCATCTGATCTGTCTTCACTTCCTCCAGATCTAGCTGGAGGATATTGGTTTCTGAGGAAACCAAAAAGTCAATCCTGAGGAAAGAAGAGAAATTTCCACGCGTTCAACCCGAATATCGGATACGAGTATGAACTATGCCGAACAGCCATGGCTTCAAGTCAGCATAGCAGTTGCCGCCTTCGATCTTCTATGCCCACTCCTCAGACGCACTGAAGCACCAGATCGATGATAGCGAAGAAGACATCCCGATCAGCGTCGGCCGTCTCGAGACCAAGCCCAAGAACCAGCAGCCGCTTCTCATCCGGCGTCTTGGTGACAATAGCACTCGCGATCTGCCGAGCATACAACTGACCAACAACCTCATGACCGGGGGCTCGACCTCCCAGCAGTGACGTAGCGGTCAAGTTGCTAATCGGAAGAAGACTGTCATCCGAAGAATCGGGGATGATGTGGAAACCCTCTGTACCGGGATTCTTGTTCTCCAAGGGGACGTGAAGCTGTGACAGGTCAGTGGAGAAGGTCGGTGCAATGCTTAGACGAATCACAGACCCAGTGGCCGAGTCGACCCTTTTGCGAAATAGTCACCAAGATCCGGTCACTGAATTTGACAAGCATCACATCGGTGGGGATACCATTGATGACTCCGGCGGCTTGTTTTGTGACTGCGGGGAAGGGTAGGTTGATTGGTTCCAGAAGAGGATCAAGATTGACTGCTTCGGCCATGATGGCAAATTGACGATGTGTTCGTAGACTATACCTATGAGGTCACGTAGAACGTCTAGAGTATTATGCCACAATGAGACAAAAAGAAGTACGATCTGATGAAAGCTGTTGGAGCCGCAAGAGGATAGACCTGTAGTTATTCATTCCCCGCCGCCGATCATCACGAAAGGCGGTGAGTATATTTGCCTCACCGCCTGCGGGGCAGAATGGCTCCGCCGCGTAATTTTTTCTCTCCTCATGGATTGGGCATCATCATCACAACTCGAATTTCTCTTATCTTGTGGCCATTTGATCCTGGTAGATTGCGTAGGAGCGATCGCTTCTACCTCCAGACACCATGCCCAAGTTTGTTCCCCGTCAGCGGAAGCAGAAACACCGGCAGCAGGCGGAGTCAACCGCCGGGATAGATACCAATGCTGCCGAAATTTTGCCCGTCTCCAAAAGTGAGAAGGAAGCCAAGCGACAGAAGCTGAAGGAGGAATTGAAGTCGCAGAACCCTACCATATCCTCCAAGAAACAGAAGCGCCTGGATAAGTACATTGTACGTCTTTTGTTGTGCGCTGCTTAGGAGACCCTATTCTCTAATCTCACTCGCAGGAAACAAAATTGAAGAAAGAGGAGAACATTGAACTGTTAAAGAAGCTCGCGCAAAGCAAGGTCGACACCTCTGCTCTCCAAAGCACGAAGGAACTCGGAAAGCGCAAGAGGCCTGATGAAAGACCGCCCCGGCCCACGACTACGGACCGTAATGCCTCTCACGTCGACTATTCGTCCGGTGACGAGACAGACGATTCGCTACCTCCGGCCAAATCCATTGCCATCGCGAGTACACCTGCAGAGTCCCAGGCAGTGGGCAGCGGCTTGAAACGCCCACTTGAACTCGGACCTGATGGGTTCCCGATCCTCAAAAAGCGGAAACGCGCGCCCAAGAAGAAACCGATAATCACGATATCTATGCCCGAGGTTCCTTGGGACGGATTTGGATCAGATGACGAGGGCGAGAAGGAGGAGGAGGAGGAAGTTGAGGAGGATGAGGCTGATGAAGAACACTCCGGAGAAGACTCAGATGCAACTTCAGAGGATGATACAAGTGAAGATGGCAGCGGCAGCGGGAGTGACGAAGACGAGGACGAGGACGGAGAAAGCAACGATGATGAGGAGGAGGATGAGGAGGATGAAGATGACGATGAAGACGAGGAGCACACAGACAAAACTAAGTCGCGACTGTCCGCATTCAAGGATTGGGCTCGGCAGCAAATCAATGAAGCCGTGGGATTCACGCCTGCGACCGTCCCAGTTGTCGCCGAACCGATGCCGTTTATCCCTGAATCAAAGAGACCAGTAAGGAACACAGTCTATGTGGAAGAGCCGCTGCCTCGAGAGCTGCAGGTCACTACTGGAGATCCCAACCGGAAGGCCTTCAGCGTCCAAGTCAATCGTTCCGAGGAAATTCAGCAGGCACGTCTAGGCCTGCCTGTTGTCGGGGAGGAGCAGAAGATTATGGAAGCCATCTACAACAACCCTTCGATCGTGATTTGGGGTGCTACTGGTAGCGGAAAAACCACCCAGCTACCCCAATTCCTGTTCGAAGCAGGCTATGGCCATCCTGATGGACCTAATCCTGGAATTATCGCTGTTACCCAGCCGCGACGAGTTGCTGCTGTCAGTATGGCGAAACGTGTAGGCGATGAGCTGGGTCAATTTTCCGACCGTGTGTCTTATCAGATTCGATTCGACAGTACAGCAACCAGCAAAACCGCCATCAAATTCATGACGGACGGTATCCTCATCCGAGAGATCGCTGAAGACTTCTCATTGAAGAAATACTCTGTCATCGTGATCGATGAAGCCCATGAGCGTAGTGTCAACACAGATATCCTCATTGGCATGGTGAGCCGAATCGTCGATCTCCGGAAATCGATGAGCGAGGAAGACCCGTCTGTCAAGCCCTTGAAACTGGTGATCATGTCTGCTACTCTGCGCATTTCCGATTTCACGCAAAACCCCAGTCTATTCCGCCAAGGACCGCCACCATTGGTGCAGGCTGAGGGTCGTCAGTACCCCGTCACCATTCATTTCTCCAGACGCACCCACCGCGATTATGTCGAAGAGTCTTTCCGCAAAGTGTCGCGCGGCCATCGCAAATTGCCTCCGGGCGGAATTCTTGTATTCCTGACAGGACAGAACGAGATCCGTCAACTTTCCAAGCGGTTGAAGCAGGCCTTCAAGCCTACTCAGCGAGCAGACACCACCCAGGTGAAGGTCCAGATATCGGCCAACGATGCGCCATTGGAGACGGAAGATCTGGAAATCGGCGGTGCCGATTTGTCCGTTCCTGGCGGCGAAGTAGATGACGAAAGTGACTATGAGATCACTGGTTTGGATGAGCCGGACGAAGAAGACGAAGAATTTGATCTGGGCGAAGAGGCCATGAGCTCCACGACTCGGGTCCACGTGTTGCCCCTGTACTCTCAACTTCCGACCAAGGAGCAGCTCAAGATCTTCGAAGAGCCACCAGAGGGCTCGCGTCTCATTGTTCTGGCCACCAACGTGGCGGAGACCAGTTTGACGATCCCTGGCATCAAGTATGTGTTTGACTGCGGCAGAGCTAAGGAGAAGCAATATGATCTGTCTACCGGAGTGCAGAAGTTCCAGATTGAATGGATCAGCAAGGCTAGTGCAAACCAGCGAGCAGGTCGTGCTGGTAGAACTGGACCTGGCCACTGCTACCGCCTCTATTCGTCCGCGATCTACGAGAACGAGTTTGCCGAGTACACCGACCCCGAAATCCTGCGCACGCCGATTGAAGGTGTCGTGCTGCAGATGAAGAGCATGGGTCTGCATAACGTTATCAACTTCCCATTCCCCACGCCCCCTAGCCGGCAAGGCTTGGCCAAGGCCGAAAAGCTGCTGAAGAATCTGGGGGCCTTGACATCGGAGGGCAAGATCACCCAGATCGGTAATCGGCTCTCCACCTACCCTCTGTCTCCTCGATTCGGCAAGATGCTCTACGTTGGCCATCAGCATGGCTGCATGCAGTATGTGATCGCCCTCGTCGCTGCTCTGGCAGTGGGCGACCTCTTTGTCCCTCAGAGTCAGATCGATCCCGTGTCATCGAAATCCAACGAGCACGAAGGGGTGTACACCAACGCGGACCGGCTCGAGGACACGGCGCGGGAGCAACGCCACAAGGACTACGCGCGGGCTCATCGTCTTTTCAGCAAGCATGACGATACATCTGACGCGATGAAATACCTGTCCGCGATCTGCGCCTACGGATACGCCTCCGACGGGGATTCGTTCTGTGAGAAGATGTTCCTGCGCGCCAAGGCCTTCAAGGAAGCCACCCAGCTCCGCCGTCAACTCACAGATATTGTGCGCACCAACAACCCTGGTCTCGTCGGTGCCTATCAGGCGCGTCTGCCGGAGCCCTCGGAGAAGCAGGTTAAGGCTCTCAAGCAGATCATCACGGCGGGTTTCATCGACAACGTGGCACTCCGCGCCGATCTTGCGCCTGTACCTCCGGAGATGGCCCGGACGCCCAAGCGAGCCATCGACGTCCCGTACTTCACGCTCATGCGGTCGCGCGAGGGCCCGGGCTTGGAACTGAACGAGAAGTGCGTCTATGTGCATCCCTCGTCCATCCTTGCGCAGATGTCCGCCAAGGAGATGCCGCAGTACATTGTCTACTCCCACCTCCAACAATCTTCTCCGTCGGTGGTGGCGGCCGAGCAGACCCCCAAGATCCGGATGTATCCCCTGGCGACACCCAGCGGACTGCAGCTCTCCGCCATCGCCCACAACACGCCGCTGATCGAGTACGGGAAGCCGATCGGCAAGGCGGAGACGATCGAGGGGATCCCCGAGCGCCGCTCATGCTGGGTGATCCCGTCGCTGGTAGGCGAGGCCGGTGGTCCAAGGTGGCCTTTGCCGGCGAAGAAGGTCATCCAGAAGAAGGATCCCAAGGAGGGGTGGGTGATCGAGAAGTTTGTCACTTGAGGCATATATAGCGACGAAGCCCGCAAGCAAAAGTTGTGAGCATATAGTTAATGTACAGCTGTGTCTGATCATCGAAGGTTCAGTATTGCAGTATCACCCTGCTTAGAGGCGCCGTAAAAAAAAAATAAAAAAAAATAAAAAAGAAGATCCATAATCTAACGCCCAAACACCCATCAATCCTCCCTTCCCTAGACCCCAGATACAAGCCAAATCATCAGAAGAATCCACCACCTCAAGTAAAACCACCCAACCAGTCCAACAATCAATCCCTCCTTCTCCCCCCCGAGATCTCCCCAGTCTCCCTATCCTCGCGAATCCCCAACGCCCTCCTCAAGCGCTCACTCTCCTCAATCTTAGCCTCCGCCAACTCATGCACCTGATACGACTTGAACTGCTTCTTGGACGGAGGAGGCATATCCCTCTCCCTCTCCCTGCCCCACCGCCTGCCCGCACCACCATTACCCGCATACCCGGCCGCAGCCCTGCCCGCATCCCTCTCCTTCCGCGCCGCAGCCCGCCGCTCCTCCTCCTCCAACTCCCTCAACAACCTCTCCCGTAACCGCTGACACCGCTCCTCGATCTCCTCCTCCGAGAGCGCCCGTTTCCCCTTCCCCTCAGCAGCCTCGCCCTCCTCCTCGTCCTCCCCCTCAGCCTCAGCCTCAGCCTTCTGCTTCTTCACCCCCTCCCCAGCCCCCTTGCCCCTCTTCCCTTCCTCAGCTGCAGCTGCAGCATCCTCCTCTAATCGCTCATTCTCCTCCTCCAACTCCTCCCGTAACTCCATAACCTTGACCTCGACGGCACGGCGCCGGTCATGCTCGAGGATCTGCCGATCCGGCACGCGCTGCTTGAAGCCACCGCCGGCGCCGGCGCCCGAGTTGGCGCCCGAGACGGGCGGGTACGGTTGGCCGTAGCCCGTGGAGCGGGGCTTGATGAAGGCGGCGTTGCGCTGGACGTAGCCCGAGGTGCCGCTGCCGCGCGGGGTGGAGAGGCCGACGTTGGAGGACATTCTTGGAAACCTTCTGGAAACTGTGTTTCCCTGTCTGTGTTCGCTGATGCTTGTGTGTGTGTGTGTGTGTGTGTGTCTTCTAGATGGTATGGGATGGGTGATGTTGGGATGGGCGAGGTAAGGTGAATGCAATGGTGAGTTGATTGATTGTTCGTTGATCGTTGAGAGGATGTGAGATCGTGGAAGTTCGACTTGAGAGGCGGCCGGTTGCGATTCGATTCGATGAGGAGGTATGTGTGGTGCTCAAGATTGGGAGGAAGGTGGTTCGCAAGTTATGTAGTCAGGTAGTCATCAAGATGGACTATCTGGTCAGTGATGTGAAAAAAGGTCAAGCAAGCGAGGTATTGTCGTATCTTCCGTGGCGACGGAGCTTCGAGGTTAATCGTCCAGGTTTCTCTGTCGAAATGGGGCCGCGCAGTTATCGGTCACGTGGTGATAACGGAGCTACACCAGCAATTCGGTTCCTGCCGACATTCCATAGTATACATACTACGATGTAAATGCGGCCAATCGACCAACACGCCAATTCAAAATCATCTCGCGAAATCCAGACACTTCAATTCGTGGTCTGTATACTAGCTAGAGTGCTCAGCCTCTACATGCTCTAGGCATCCCGTATGTTCTCCCTATTTCCAGGTCTCCCATTATGTCCAAGGTCCCACACATTTTGTTAACCCTCCGAAGGAATTCAAGCGCGATGCCTCGTAACCCATGATTCACCAATAACTGACGCCGACCCTTCGTGTTGTTAGGACACAGAGAAACAGGAAATATCGATAGCTATGGAGGCGTGTCCTCTTTGTCGTCACAAAGAACTTCAAAGGTAACAGAAGAAAGTACATCCACAAGCAATTAAAGAAGTAGAAAAATAAGTTTCAAGAAGCAAAAGGGGCGGGGGAATAGTAGGAGTAGTAGGAGTAGTAGTAGTAGTAGTGAAATAAAGCAAATGACCTCAAGTCTCCGCCGTGTCCCTGGATATTGCGCCGTCAAGCCATGAAATGTGGGCGGAAAGATGAGGAGCAGTCTCTCCTTCAGGCCCCGGTATGTATACGCCCCGATCAATAATGTCGTTGAAGAACTCAGAACATCGGAAAAATAAAGCTATATTTCAGAGAAAGCAATGTTAGATATAGAGCCGTTGCAATCTATGTCGCCCCAGAGACTTCGACCGAGGCGCTCGAGTCCGCCTCGGCGGATTCGGATTCAGCCAGCGAGGTCACCGTCGCCTTGGGGATATTCTTGAACTCGGAAGAGCTATCTGCGCCGCTTTGGCTATCAGTCGGAGGGGGTGTTGGAGGCGCGGCTCCAACGGGAACCCGGCCGTTTTCGACTCCGTTGACTGCACGCTTCGACGGCTGGGGAGAGGATTTATGCGAGTTCGGCGGGGTGGTCGAGGTGGCTGTGTGAGGGAGGGGCCCCTCGGGACCAGGGTGGATCCCAACGATCAATTTCTCAATGGCAACAATCTGCTTGCCGTAACTGTACTTCTTCAGCTGATCAAGCATCGGCTGGATGCGCATCACAAGGGCATATTTCTCCTCGGGCGAGTCTTGTAGTTGACCAAGAATTTTCTCTGGGGAGAGTTAGCAGCTGCAGTTGACTATGCTGAAGAGTGCCAACTTACGGATGACATAGTTGCCGTATTGGTCACGCATCAAGCCGATAAGGGGGGAATCACCCCGATCATTGACACTGGTCAAAGTGTCGATGATCTGTCGACGTTGAGATTGCTCCCCAAACTCAATGCTCTTCTCCACGACGTTACTGGCAAACTTGTGTTTCGAGTAAGTGAGCAACTGGCCGATGACAACATTGATCATGCGCGACCGATCCTTTTCTTCGCCATTTTCGATGACATGTTGAATCACGTAGTTACCAAATTGGTCGGAAATGAGTTTGGCGGTGCAAGGGTGCAATTCGGCCAGGATGGATTCGCGATCGGCTTGCTCACAGTGCTCCAGCATGCGCTGAATGACGCGGCATCCGTATGGGTGGGCCGACAGTTTCTCCACCTGACCCTTGAAGGCATTGATGATGAACTGCACATATTCGGACGGAACTCGCTCAATGGCCTTTTGAATCACATGGTTACCATTCTGATCTCTTACACACTTGAGAACACTCGACTCAAGCTCTTTGACCATGGAAGCTTGTTGATCAGTCAAGATGTGTTCGAGGGCCTATGGAGGGATGTATTAGCAACAATTAACCAGAGAAATGCCATGACACCTCAAGCTTACCTTTTGCACCACACGGCACCCATACATCTGGGTAGAAAGAGAAAGAATATGCCCCTTCATTTGATTGGCGAGGACTTTCTTCTGAGTCTGGTTGCCGTGCTCGAAAAGCTTTTGCACCACGTAATTCCCAAAAACATCTGTCATCAGCTGCAAGCTGTTCGACTGGATCTCCCGGAAAACCTGCTCCTTCTCGTCACTGTTGGCAGTCTCGAGTTTCTGCTGGATGAAACGTGACCCGTGCTGATCACCGCTGAATTCAACTATATGACCGTATATATCCTAGAACTGGTCAGCAAGGATGTCATCGTGCAAGGTCAAGGGATACACACCTTCAGGTCATAGCGTTTGTTCCCCTTGCTGTTGGCCCTGAAATCCTCCAGGACAGGGCTCCGGGCAACCTGCGAAGAGAGGTCCTCACGTTGTCCCCTTTGGAGGAGAGCGGCTGCACCAAGGTGGGCGGCAGGGTGGTATAACCCAGACATGCCATTCACTCGCTGAACTGCTGGATACCCGTTCACATTGATATCGTAACCGGGACTGAAGTTGGCACGCTGAAGAGAGTTTGCGGATTGCTGAGCAAGCTCATGATCAGCGCGCATTCGGCTCAACACCACAGCCGGATTCTCAGGCAGCTGGCTTGCAGATGAGTTTCGGTAATGGGCGCCATTATCGTGTCCGTAAAATGGGCTCTCCATCCGATTATACTCAACGGGTGACAAAGGATGACCCTCCGCGACACGCGACCTGACGGTTTGATAAGCAAGTGGCAAGTCTGCAGTCACATTCTCATTCCCGTAATTGGTGGCAAGCTGATAGTTAATGTCATCGCTGGTGCTCTGATAGTTAAGTCGCTGGACAGCATTGTCGTATGATTGATGAGTGACAAAGCCCGGGCGGCCGGCAGTCTGCGCAGCGATGCTACTCTCGTTGAGCTGTAGCTTGCCTAATCCAGCACCGATGTCCACTGATCCCGATCTGCCTTCATATCCCTGAGACTCGGAGTGGAATGATGGGTAGGAGGAGTGTGGCGGTCTCGCCGGCGCAAAGGACGCAGAGTTGTGTGAGACATGTGCATAGGAATTGCGACTGACGTGCTGGGGCATGAAATCGGGCAGAGCTTGAGGAACACCTGGCATGGCCATTGACGAAGGCACTTCTTCCGCTCTATTGCTCTCAATGTTGGGAAATCCAGGCTTCATTGGGAAGCTCGAGCCCACAGGGCTACTGGCAAATGTAGCTGTGTTGACGTGCCGTCTACCATCATTATTGCGAAACCCTCCAAAGTTCCCAAGCGAAATACCGTCACTGGAAGGAGATATGCCTTCAGTTCTCCCATTCAAGTAAGGTTGGTGAGCCGTGGTACCGGAAGAGCCGCTAACTGTTGACTTTGACAGGGCAAAATATGAAGATGCTTCGGCTGCGTCCGATAGAGCGGCGGCGCTGCGATCATTGGTCCGGGTCTGAACAGGTGAAGTCGTCATACCGCTATTCGGACCCCTCGACAGTGCGCTGCCAGGTGTATTGATCGTACCCCATGGAAGGTTGGGCCTGGTGTTCCAACCGTCGGACTCGGATGTCGATGTCGACAATAAGGAGCTTGAACCAGCCTTGCCTTCAAACGCATTCTCTGCGTTGTGTTGGTCTGAGCACATACAATCAGTACAGCACGGGTTCTTGGGCGGATTCGTGTATCGCTTACCATCGAATGTTCGTCCCCAGATGTTATTGTTGCTCCAGCTTCCGTTGCTACTTCCGAAGCCTTTCCCCATGCTTGCGTGAGAGGTTCGTGACCTGTCACTGACCACATTTGCTGAATTCATATTGGACCCTCTGTTCGACCGTCCCTGGGATTGTAGTTAGCCACACTGTCCCACTTGCCACATATTTAGTTTCCACCTACATTGTGACCTGTGTTCGCGTTGTTGGAGGCCATAGTGGGCAATCCACCATAAGACTTCCGCTATCCAGTATAACCGACTGTATGGATATCTTTTCGCCCGTAGACGCTTGGGTTGCTGCTTCTGCTTAGGGGAAGCCTCCGAGGGGTATGGTCAATGCCACGGTCGATCGAATCGAATCGAGTAGGTATAGGTATAACCGGCCGAGTAGGATGGACTGGGGCAGGAGCTCTGTAACAGATAGCGGACTGCACGAGAATTAGCCATACGATCGCTCCGCGCTCATGAGACTGTGTGAGAACCGAGGATTAACTCACAAGAGAGGCAGGAAGAAGCGGGACGAGGAAGAGAAGGGATGGGGACAGAAAGGAGTAGACAGGTTCCGCGGAAGAATAGGAATATGTTTCTGTCCAGAATAGACACGGTCAAGCAATGCAAGAATTACACAGGGGTCTCGAAGGGATGGGGTACGGAAGGGAGGAAGAGCGTGGCAGGCGAAAAATGCTTCACAGAGGAAGGAGGTAGGCCCGACGAAGAAGAAACGCAAGGCGACCGGAGCTTCTTCTGTTTGCCAGCGCGATGCTCCGCACGCAGCAGTAGATCAAAAATCGCCCAAAGATATTGCGATGTGACTATGCTCCGTGCATGCTCCAGAAACCTCGAACTTCGCAGATCGTCCTCATGCGCTCTCTCCAGAAAAGAGAGGGATAGCCGACACGGGTCCAGTTTTAATCAGACAAACGTTAGGAGCTCGGATGGTTCGCAGCGGCAAGGGGTGTGGGGAGGGGCGAAGGGTTGGAGGAGATTGCAGTTGGTATGGAAGGAGAATGTGCTTGTTGCGCAAGACGGCGTGATTTAGTGGAGTGTCGAACGATGGGAATGTGGACGAGAGACGAAGCACGGCATTAATGTAATTCAGTTGTGACACAAGGCGAAAGCAAGCATGACACCCGAACTGGTCCCAAAGCAGATCAGTATTTTATCGCACCTCCGTTTTAGACTTTCGCTGAGATGGTGGAACTGGGAAATCGGTCGGAAATTATATGGAAGGTTTTTAAGAGAGCAAAAAAGATAATAAAGATAAAATAGTATGGGCGGAAAATATTGACCGAGAAGAGAGAGATGAGAGAATTCACGTAGTGAGTGAGTGAGAGAGTTGGTTGAGAGTTGATGGTCGGAATGATTTCAGAGTAGGGAAAAGAAAAGGTTATTTTAATAATAAAAAAAAAATCGAACCTGAAAAAAACGAACTGGGTTGACCCGCGACAAGTGAAAGTCGGTAGCACAAAAGAGGCACCAAAGGCGACCCCGTCAAGAAAAGAAGAAAAAATGACAAATGGTAAGGGGAGGAAGAGGGAGGGAGAAAATGAGAGAGAGGGAAGAATTGATAATTCGAAACGAAAAGGGAGGAGAGAAAGCAAAAGGAAGGGCCTTACTCAGTCTGCAGCGGCGGCCAGGATGAGGGAGGAGGAATTGATTGATGGATGGATGGATAGAGGAGGAGGAGGAGGATGAGTTGGATGGATAGGGAATGATACGTAGATAAGCAAGCAACCAGCAACATCAGCAGTACAGTACGTATGTACATACGTATTGTTAGCCAAGTTGTGAGTTGCTAGCAGAATAACGTAGCTGGGCTGAACAAGCCAGACAAGCAACTTAAAGTTAAGCTAGAAAAAGATGCTGCGTGTCTTGCGACCAGAATTCTTTTGGGTCCAGTTGGTGGTGGTGGTCCACGGTGGTGGTGGCCGCTGCTGGTAAGAATTACAGGATAGTTACTCCGTACGGGAGAATGACAATACCAGACAGACGATCTTGTCGATCCTCTCAGTGTTACTTGAGTACGGAGTACTTGAGCAAAGTATGGGTGGCGCACTGGGCGAGCAGGTACCGGATCCTCTTCAGCCCTCCTCCGCCTTCCCGTTCCCTCTGGGCGCTTGTCCATCCATCCACATCCACAATTGTTCCGTCCGATACGGTTCGTTCCAGCTTTAGTTTCCAGTTCCAGTCCAAGTTCCAAAGGGTTCTAAACTGGCGCTGATTCTGGGGCCGCCCAAATTCGCTCCCGCCGCTTTTTTTTTTAGGCTTCCCTCCAAGGCGACGGGCCCCTCAATGGATCCCTGAGTCTGGGCGTATCGCTATGAGTACTACTAGTTACTTAGTACATACTCACTCAGTATTCATACTTCACACTCTAAACTGCCATCAACAATTATCTTCCCCACCTCCAAAAATACCCCGGACTTCCTTCCACCCCATCAATTTTACCTGTCCTTTTGACTTACAGTGTTCCTGAAGGACACCTAGTACTGAAACACCCCCTGGATTGGGTTAATGAGGGTTGCACAAACCAAGTTGAAGGGGAGAGGTCTAACCAAGGACAGCAGCATAATAGGCTGACCGCCACAGTCAGAACTCACCCCTCCCCCGTCGTTGCCATCATTGTCTGTCTTGACGTGGTTGACATTTCGGCTACTGTTGCGTAATGGATTTCTCCCCTTCCCCTTTCCCCGTTCCCCGTTCCCCTCCCGTATCATTTCTGGTGGCAAAATGGTGCAGAAGAAGCACGATTGACTGCGAAAGAGAGAGAGAGAGAGAGAGAGAGAGAGAGAGATCCCGTGGGCTGAGGGGGAGTTAGGGTCTTACGAAGAACGTCGGAGAAAGTGTCATTCGGCAATGTCGGACATCAGTTCCTAGCCAACACCTCCGATTATGAATTTCTAGTCCCTTGTCTTGGGCTGGACAGGCTAGCCAGGCCGATACTCGAGAGTCATTCAGCGAGGCAGTTGTATCTGTATATCTATGATTTTCTTTGGGCGTATATACCATGTGCCTTGATGAATTGTTCGAAACATCTACCATGAGTCTGATGATGATGAGAATGAGAGGGGTTGGTTGATTCTAAGGAAGATTGGCAGTCCACGTAAAGGTAAAGTTGCGCTCCAGCCCGATCGATCGGATCCACTAAACTAGCTTGGATTTTTCTTGTTAAAATCAGAGTTTATTATTATTCTCGGGCCACCTTTGGACCCTTCGACAATGGATTGATTCATGATGCCTTGATATTCCGGGCCGAGTCGTGCGTTCCTTCGGCTATTGTTCCATGCCTGTGATCACCACCATCCACTCCCACCAAGCACTGATCATTAGGCAATTGATTTCTGGCATATTTCACTATTGAATGAGGGGCAATTGTTCTGATCAAGAAGCACTCTTAATACCCATCGATTGTGAAAGGGTTGAACCCCCCTCCCCCCTCATTTACATGTGGAATTGGATGCAATGGTCAACGGCGTCCCCATAACCATGGAACCACTAACCACCTCTCATCACGTCGCAAAGGTTGTAAGCATGCTCGCTGGCCTTGATCACTCAACCGATGGACAACATCAGCAGCAGTGAGGAGAAGACCACCGTCTCATGCAGCTATTTAATCAAACCACCCTCCCCCTTCCATAATGCATACCTACTAGCCACGCGACTCGATTGTTAGGCACTTTTCGACGTTCCTGTCAGGGAACCACAGCAGCAGCAACAATAACAACAAAACAACAATAACAATAATAACAATACACCCCCACGTTACCCCTATCTATCCCCACGCTTTCCTCCAGTTGGTGCGACTCATGTAGCTGCCAACAGTGCATACACACATAATGTACATACAGCTTATCTCGTTGACTTTTCCCCACCAAATCTTCATTGAACCAAGAGGCACGCATGAAATCGCCCCCCCCCCCCCCCTTGCATCCAAACAAGTAACATTCGATTTAGGTTTCATCCGCCCTGCCGTTTTGACGGCCGAGGAACCAAAGAACCCCCAAGCAAGCTCCAGGGGACGGGAGGAGGAAGAATCTTTGGTGGTCGTCGGGCTGTAGTTCCTCTGCCATCGTCATGGCTGCTGCTTTCTCGGATGTAGGTTCATGGCACACGGTAGGTAGGTAGGTAGCATGTGGATGTTCGTATGCAGTGTAGCTCTGTTAGTAGCCTTAATCTTTTTGTCCCTTTAGATTAGTTTCTTTTACGAGGCAAGGCTAACATGACTTTCACTCCTGAAGAGGAGTCTCGAAAAACAAACACCCCTCCCCAAGCACAGCACAACCCCAAATTCACCTTGCATGCGTACAAATCTCCCACCCTTACCCCCCAACTTCAAACTTACCTTATCTACAATGCCCACTCTGAATGCACTACACCTTTCCCCCCCCCCCCTCCCCGCCCGCACGCAATTGACTGAAAGAGGGGGCTTGAGAAAGAAAAAAAAAACACCCTCAATCAAAAAGAGCGGCGATTACTTCCACCCCATTCCTCTCACCCCTACGTATGTAGCCCAGCAATCCACCAACCGTGGACCGTCACTGGCTGTAACACGCCTCATAGAGTGTAGATCCATGCCATGGGCACGCATGCCGTGGGGGCGGGGGGGGGGAGCCGGAGGGGGGGACACCAAGACCCTCGCAAGCGAATATCGGCCGGGGCTTATGTGAATGGCTCTCCACCTCCAAGTTCTATCACGGCCCAGAAAGACGAAACTCGAAGCTATCGCTAGCGTTCCCAACCTCCAGCGAGGCATACAGCTCACCGCCCGTTCATTCTATGGAGGGATCCCTTCTCTGATGACTCGGGGGCCCAAGTGGTTGTCTTTGCCACTGTGTCAAATAATTAGTTCTTCAAGGCATCTGATTGAGGGAGACTCATCACACGGATGACACTGTGTATGTCATATAATCGTCGCACCGAGTGGTTCAGATATCCGACTTCTTCCGCAGGATACTTGTACATATGAGCTCATTTGCGAGCCGTCGCGCTTGGGACTTGATAGCCTATACCGTGGGCCGGGCTCTCGAAACACGGTAGTGAGAGAAAGACGGCACGAGTTCTGTCTTCCGGCTGCAGTCCTGCAGTCTATCATGGTGAGCGAATGACTGACTCATTCTCTGTGCCGCTCTATCCGGGGCCTGGGTGTTGTGACATCTGCCAGAAGGTCCGGCTCCGTGAAGCATCACCTCGAGGGCCCGCCGTGCCTGAGGCCGAGGGAGATGTCATGCCTGTCAAAGAACTGTCGGCACATGATGTCATTTGACTTAGAAACCATCGTGGGTGACGAAGAGATAGTCATATGTATTAGCCAAATCGATCTCCTTCTGCCTGAGTATCAGTTTGGTTTCAGCTTGTAGAAGTTGACTGGCTGTGAGATTCTGATATCAATACTCAATGAGAGCGTGAAGCCTGAAAGCCTTTCATTGCAAGTATACCAGCTGAAAAGTCATTGTTTGTACTAGTAGCCACGAGACTCATAGCTCTGCATGTATACTCGAATCCGAGATCTAGTCAAATTGGACATTCATGCTAAGATATCCACCCCCATCATCATGCAGCTGCAGCACATGCTAATTGAAGCAATGACAGTCACTCCACTCGATGCACACCCCCCTAGGCCAGCCGCGACACCTTATATCCTGGACCAACCGCTGAGAAGCCATGGACATTTCTCGAGCGCTGTGTAGGCGCAATCGCCTCTTCAGCCTCATCGACCCCAAGCCTCGCGCGCATTCGTCGCGCGTATCCTCGGCCATCTCCATCGAAGTCAAGACTCTCACGCCTCCAACGCGAGCGCGATCTTTCCACTATCGGTACAGGAGCAGGGCTCCAGCGCCTCGGCCGTGGTCTGACCTCCGGGCTCTCGATCTCCCTCGTCCGGAGCAGTTTCTCGCACAGGAGGGCGAAGTCCCCGTAGCTGGACGCATCCGCGATATCCGCCCAGTCGCGGATGTTGCTTTCGCTCGCCCCTGCTTCCATGATCAGAGCCCTCTTTGTATGCTCCTTGATCGACTGAGTGACTCTCTGTTCCAGTCTCTTCGCGTCCTCGACCATGACAGCCGCCCGGTCCGCAACGCCCAGTATCAATTTTAGTTTCATCGCTTGCTCGAGCGACATGATCTCCGCCAGTGGGGGGACCAGGTACGCGGGCCCCTTTCTGGCTGTCACCGTGCGTGGGATGCCGAACGAGAAGAAATGGCTGGCCCTCGCGGACAATGACGCACGCAGCTCGAACTCAGCTTCGCATTGAACCACCAGAAGGAGGCGGACTATCTCTGGTAGTCCACTCTTGCTCCCTGGCTCCTCATACAGCCGCCAGGAGGCGTGCATCCGGTCTTTGACTGCCCCGTGGATTATCCGGACCCCTTTGAAGGTGGACTTTCTTCCTTTGGAGCCTTCCATGCTGATGTTGACGCTGGACGGTCCGCCGTTTCCGTTCGCCCCAACCGTGAACTTCTGTCCTGTGGTGATCTCCTGCTCCGACACTTCGACCCGGTCAGCCTGCGGCATGATTGTGCGGATATTGGGCGACGCTTTCAGGTCAGTTGCATAGAGGGCCACGTCGACTTCTGCATACCGAATGCGATGTTTCAAGGAATGGGGCTTCATGAAGTTGAGTTTGAGCTGGATCGCATGCATCTCCTGGCCCTCGTGAGATGATGAATGGATTGACTCCATTTTGGCGTCGCAGTAGATGTCATGACCGTCGTACTTGGCCAAGATATAGCCGTCGCCATTGTCCCGACGTACGCCATCCCAGTGATTCTGCCCCAGCATTTTCTGCGCAGAGTCTACTTCAGAGCCTACCGCCATTTCGTCAGTCGGTTCCAATCTATCGTGGCCCGGCTCACTTCCTGTCTCTGTCTTTCTTAGTCGCGGTATCTCGTGGCTAGACACGCTTTCTACTTCGACCTCCTTCGGCTCTAAGATGATACTTGTAGATCTCATGATACGCAGTCTGCGCGGGGGAGAGACTGAACGCGATCGCGCTTTGGAAGAATTCTCGGCATCAGCCTTCGCCTCATAGTGCTGTAATAGGCGCACTATACTCGCCGACTGCCCTGTGCTAGAGGCTAGTTGCAAAGCCGTCAGCCCATCGGAGTCCTTGACGTGTACGCTAGCCCCATGTTCAAGCAAAAGCCACATCACTTGCTTGAAACCACCGAGGCAGGCGAGATGAAGTGCCGTATTTCCATCAGCATCTTTTGCGTCGACATCCACCTCAGGCCGAAGCAGCGCATGCATTGGTCTGGTCCACCCCGCTTTGGCAGCATAATGCAGCGGCGCCCTCCCCTCCGGGTCCACTGCATTGACATTTGCCCCGTGATGAAGCAGCGTATTCAGCATCTCGGATTGATGGCGAGCCAGTGCAAGATGTAACGGCGTGCGCCCGGAATTATCCCGGGGATCCGCCTGAGCTCCATATTGGAAGAGCAAGTCGACCATACCTTCGCGTTCCTGAATACAGGCATGATGCAGCGCTGTTCTTCCCTTGTCGTCCGCGGCGTCGACATTGGCCCCCGCTTCAAGAAGGCGTTTTGCGATGTCGTAATTAAAGTGGCTGCAGGCCAGAAGCAGAGGCGTCAGACCCTCGCTGCCAAGGCGGTTAACATCTGCGCCTTGATCGATCAAGAATCGTACAAAATCATTCGAGTGCTTCATGACAGCGATGTGGAGCGCAGTATCTCCATTCAAGTCCAGAAGGTCGATCGCCGCTCCTTTGCGTAGTAGCACCTTCGCCGCTTCATAGTTATCCTCGTAAGCCGCTCCATGAAGAGTCTTTGGTTTGTATATCCCTTCGATTTCGGGGTCACTGTCAGTATACATATATATCTCGTTGTTTGAGTCGGTCGCATCACGGTCGATCCTTCGCCATGTTGACGGTCTCTGCCTGCTGTGCTCGGAACTGCTTCTTGAACTAGACATCGGTCGACAAGGCTTCACTTCGATTTTGCCTGAGAGTTTTCAACGCTATTAAGAAATATATTGCCGTCTGGGGACGCAAAATTTCTCAGCAGGGCTGCTGTATGAAACAGCGCGAGGCTGAGAATCTCCGATGAGACCAAGCAGGCATCCGTTAGGCTGAAGACTTGGCTTTCCAATGGGATTGGCAGTGCTGCCTTCGACTAGTACAGTACAGTACAGTTAGTAGTAGTCACGGCACTCAGCCTAGTTATTGAATGATTGTTCGATTAGATAAGCGCATTCGGTGAACTTGGTGACTCGACATGACTCAAACTAGCATGGACGGTGATATAGTCGGTGGGGTTGCCAGGAATCTGCTCCTGGCCCTATATAACCAAGACTAAGGCATTTTCGCTCAAGCGATAGCGAGATTGTTCTAGGTTCTCTTGTAAGCGTGCCTGTCGTGGCCAACCCGGGAATCTACTTTTATCGGAAAGTTTTTTGATAAGATAAGTTACCCCCGCCACGTGACTGATCCACCGATCGGAGTCACTCAACTTTTTTTTCTGCCTCGTCCTTCCACCCCTCTTGCGGCATCGTTCACGTCTGTCGTCACCACAAATTCTACGGTCGGTCGCTGCAAAGATGAAGTACGTTCTGGTCTCTGGAGGTAAGTTGGAACTCATTGTCTCCCCCGGGTTGATCTCTGTCCAAATCTCTAACGGGAAACTCCTCAATTAGGTGTCATTTCCGGCGTGGGCAAGGGCATTATTGCCTCCAGCACCGGTCTGCTCCTCAAAACTACTGGTCTTACGGTTACCAGTATCAAGATCGACCCTTACATCAACATCGATGCGGGCACTATGGCACCTACCGAGTCAGTATCTTGAGATCCGGCTTTCTGGTGCTGACCCCGTTTATTGACATCCCCCAGACACGGTGAGGTCTATGTCACTGATGACGGCGGTGAAATGGACCTTGACCTTGGCAACTACGAGCGCTACCTGCTCACGTCGCTCACTCGGGACCACAACATCACCACGGGAAAGGTGTACCAGGATGTCATCAACCGCGAGCGTATCGGCCACTACTTGGGCAAGACCGTCCAGGTCGTGCCCCACATCACCGACGCCATCCAGGAATGGATTGAGCGCGTCGCTCGGATCCCCGTGGACGAGTCCCGCGCCGAGCCAGACGTCTGCATTATCGAGCTGGGCGGTACCGTCGGAGACATTGAGAGTGCTCCCTTCATCCACGCCCTGAGCCAGCTGCAGCGTAAGGCCGGCAAGGGCAACTTTGTCCAGATCCACGTCTCCTACGTGCCGGTCATCCCCCCCGGACCCGGTGGTGAGCAGAAGACGAAACCCACACAGAGAGCCATCAGCGACGTGCGGAGTGCCGGTCTCAGCCCGGACCTGATCGCCTGTCGCTGCGAGCAGCCCCTCGAGGCGAGCACTATCCAGAAGATCGCCAACATGTGCTCGGTCGAGCAACACCAGGTCATCGCTGTGCACAACGTGACGACGACGTATCACGTCCCCCTTCTGCTGGAGAAGCAGAAGCTCATCAACACAATCACCCAGATGCTTGATCTCACGCCGATCCAACCCACCCCCGAGCGGATCGAGCGCGGCAGCCGCATGTGGAAGGACTGGGTCGACCTCGCCCAGGGACAGGATTTCCTGCACGACCCGGTGACCATTGCCCTGGTTGGCAAGTACACCTCCCTCCACGACGCCTACATCAGTGTGTCCAAGGCCCTCGAGCACGCCGCCATGTTCTGCCACAAGAAGGTCAAGATCATCTGGGTGGACTCGTCGCACTTGGAGGACGGAACCGCCCCCGCCGACTACCACAAGGCGTGGCATTCCGTGTGCACCGCGGACGGTGTTCTGGTGCCTGGTGGCTTCGGCAACCGCGGTACGGAGGGTATGATGAAGGCCATCACGTGGGCCCGGACCAACAAGAAGCCCTTCCTGGGAGTCTGTCTGGGTATGCAGCTGGCTGTGCTGGAGTACTGCCGCAACGTGGTGGGCATCGAGGACGTCGGCAGCGAGGAGCTGCACCCGGCGGCCGAGAACCACGCAATCGTCTACATGCCCGAGGTCGACAAGGGCAAGCTTGGCGGGACGATGCGTCTTGGCAAGCACCCCTGTATCTTCCAGGAGAACACCGAATGGTCCCGCCTGCGGGGCATGTACGGCCCCTCGGTCTCGCAGATTGAGGAGCGCCACCGTCACCGCTACGAGGTCAACCCGGCCATGATCGAGCAGATCGAGAAGGCCGGTCTCACCTTCATCGGCAAGGACACCAAGGGTGAGCGGATGGAGATTGTCGAAATCCAGGACCACCCCTGGTTTGTCGGCGTCCAGTTCCACCCGGAGTACCTGAGCCGTGTCTTGAGCCCCAGTCGGGCCTTCCTCGGTTTCTTCGCTGCCGCCGCCGGCTGCCTGGACGAGGTCTCCAAGGCCGTTGTCCAGGGCCAGCGCAGTGTTGCTCGCAAGCAATAGGATGCAAAACTTGTGGATTACGAACGGGGAAGAAGCGGTACGACTAGTAGCCTTGCGGGAGTTCCATTGGGAGGGATTCTGATGATGGCAATCATAACTTACTTTGCTTTCTGGGCGTTGTGAAAATATAAATTTGGTAGTTAGAAGGCCAGTGTGTGTGTGTGTGTGTCAAATGCAGTTTGTGACTTATGAGTCCCGTTTTGCTGTATGTACTTAATGTCGAGGAGCTGTCTTCTCCTGACGAGGTGAATAGATTTCAACTTTGTCGTGTCGCAGCGTATGCACTTGTGGGTTCTATCTAGAAGCCCGCGCACCTCGTGTATAGTCTTCTCGAATCAACAGCACTGGACATTATAGTCAACTGTGTACCCACTCCGCAGAGAACGTGGACACTCTCCCATCTTGATTCGACTGGTTACAATCAACCCTGAAGAACCGATGCGCATGTTTGTTATTCTGCAAGATCAGGATCTGGGTTGACGCGCATTTCCGATCGCAATTGGGAATGTGGGGACGTGGTTACTGGGTGAACCCAGGTATTCAGTCGCTGTCAGTAGCAACGTGAGCGAGTATTGATGACGCATGGTAAGAATGCGAGACAATCAGCATCTCGCATGATCATTGCTCGTGAGCTTTGTTTGCCTCGCGGGATGAGATTGCAAGGTAGGTAGGTATAAACCACTTTGTCTCTGAGCCAAAGGGGTTCGTCCCGCGGGTTGGAGTTTGTGCGAGGAAAGAGAGAGACAACCCGTGTTACCTATATATATCTCAGAAACTACCCATCGTAATCTCCACAGGTGTGGGTGTAAATGTGGGTGGTAGTAACACAGACATTGTGAACTGTGGAGAGATCCTTTCGATGATCCCATGCGGTCAAGTTACTATATATATCGACGCCGCCTTAGTCGTAGCCGTATTGTTGTTGTTTTCTGGAACTATCACATCGAATGCGACAACCCCAGCAAATCAAATAAATCTACGCTGTCATATGTCGAGGATATGGGAAATACGACAACCGTCGCGTGATATTTCCCATTTCCCCGCAATAACCTCACTTTGTTCTGGATGCTGGTGGATGTGGCTGCTGTCAGGGCCGGGTTTGGTGCCAACGGTTACGACGGAATCCAAACCGTCGTTGTGTTTCACCAGTAAGAGTGACAGATGGAGACTGTCCAGTCTGACAGGTGGTTCTGATGTCACATGCGCTTTTTTTTTTCTTTGTGTTCTGGTTGCTGGTGGTTGGGGCCAGCACTGCTGCTGCATGTTTAGACAGTATAGTCGGAGTACACAGATAGAGACAACAATCGATTGTGTAAAGAAAGAGATCTTTGACCCATGATGTAAGTATTCGAAAAAGTTTTTTGTTTTTATTTTTTTGTTTTTTGTTGTGGTGGGCGCGAGTGGATCATTCAGGTACGGGGGGGGGGCATTTTCCTGCTCCAGTCGGTATCCGGAGTTTCCGGCATGTCTTGAAGAATGTCTCACTCGACCAGTTCAACACGGTGTTGTGTTTGTAATCTCAGAGATGCTGCTGTTTGTGCATGGGATGGTGACTGGATTTTTGTTGTTTGCTCCTCTCTGTCACTTATTCGTTGGAAGTGGAGGTGGTCTTACCTGATAGTCTTGGGTAGTACTGGTGTATTATTATTGTACGAAGTTCGAGTCCAAGAAGATGGTTCAGGGGGGCGAGCTAAAAAAAGGCCAACGTGAAAGTGGTTCAGGGACAGTCGAGGTCCGATAGGCGGAGAGATGGAAATTACCAGTTGACCAGCAAACTTACTCTGGTTAGTCTCTCAATAGTCGCCCTTGCTTTTCCCGACCGAGCGAAAGTCTGGACTTGGACGGAGTCCGACTAAGGACTAACTAAGGACTAAGTTGTGCCTAAGCGCCCTTGCGCCTCGTTCCTGCTGCCGTCCAGCCCAGTTCACACTGACAGACAGACACTCCCCTGCTCTCTCACTCTCACTCTCACTCTCACTCTCGCTCTCTCCATTCAAACCCTTTCTTCCCCCCCAATCTCACTCACTCACTCTCTTTTCTGCTTTTCTTCCTTTCTCCCGTTCTTGTTGC